AAAAAGCAAATGCCAACCCTCAACATTTTTATCACAATGAGGGATAATAAAAGTAAGAAAAGTATGAAGAAAAAAAATAAAAACTTAATAAAATTGACTAGACTATATACCCACACATAAGTAAAAAATAAAATAAAAAATAAAATTTTTAGCGTCCCCTCTCTTTCCTGCTTGTGCTAATATCAACGCAAATATCAGTCCGATGAAGTCCTGAAAGACAAAACGCGGCACATAAATAATAAATCCACTTTGTCATTAGGTTTCCTAATATTATATATATATATATATATATATATATATATATATATATATATATATATATATAAACAAAAAAAAACTTATTCAGATATATTGTTGTTATATACAGATATATTGTAATGTAGTTACATGTGAATTTTTTACACACACTGAACACATAAATTTATTACTCTATATATTTTATATTTTATATTAAACTGCGTTTTTTTAGACATCACCTTATTGAATGTTATATCAAACGATATATATATATATATATATATATATATATATATATATATATATATATATATTAATAATAATAATTATACATATTTTTCTCACGAGTAACACATGTTGATATTATTTTTATATGAACACCTCTATATATCTCTGTAAGTGTGTATATGCTTAAATATTTGTATATGTGGATGTCATGATATTTGTGTGTACTTTTACATTATATTTGAACCGATATATTAGATTTGTATATTTGTATTTAAATTATAGTTATATTTCTGTATTTAGAGGTACGTAAGTGTATAGATAGATAGATAGATAGATAGATAGATAGATAGATAGATAGATAGATAGATAGATAGATTCATTGTTATTGCATTGCTGTATAAATACCAATATTTAAATTATGCAACGGTCAGTTTCCAATCAGCACTTGACGATTGCATTATGCATGAAACTTTCAGCTGTGTTACCGGTAAGGAAAAATGTATATTTATTTTTAATATGAATTATACCTTTGTTATTATACATCGAGCATTATCCTATTAGCCCCAGTACTCTATGTGAACCATATATATATATATATATATATATATATATATATATATAGAGAGAGAGAGAGAGAGAGAGGGAGGGAGGGAGAGAGATGTGTCTCTGTGTGGGCTTGTGTGTGTGTGTGTGTGTGCTTGTGTGTGTGTGTTAAGCATTGTTCGCTTATTCCTTGGACATTTAAAAATTTGTTCATGCGTGTATGTGTGTGTGTCTGTGGGTGTATGCAAGCGTGTGTGTATGTGGTTAAGAATTGTTTAATTATTCCTTGGTCATGCAAGAATTTGTTCGTGTGTGTGTGTGTGTGTGTGTGTGTGTGTGTGTGTGTGTGTGCGTGTACGCCTGCGTGTACGCCTGCGTGTATGAGTGGTTAAGAATCGTTCGCTTATTCCTGGACATGTAAGAATTTGTTCGTGTGTGTGTGTGTGTGTGTGTGTGTGTGTGTGCGCCTGCGTGTACGCCTGCGTGTACGCCTGCGTGTACGCCTGCGTGTATGCGTGGTTAAGAATCGTTCGCTTATTCCTGGACATGTAAGAATTTATTCATGTGTGTATGTGTGTGTATGTGTGTGTACGCGTGCGTGTTTTCTGTGTGGTTAAGAATTGTTCGCTTATTCCTTGGGCATGTAAGAATTTGTTCGTGTGTGTGTGATTATGAATTGTTCGCTTATTCCTTGGACATGTAAGAATTTCTTTGTGTGTGTGTGTATGTGTGTATGTGTGTGTGTGTGTATGTGTGTGTGTGTATGTGTGTGTGTGTATGTGTGTATGTGTGTGTGTGTATGTGTGTGTGTGTGTATGTGTGTGTGTGTGTGTGTGGTTTAAAGTATGGAATCGATAACGCACATGCCACTCTCCATTTTCAAACTTCTAACGCAGGCCTGGGAACTGTTCCACTTGTCATCTTGCAACTGATCTGATATTATAAGCGAAATACATACCCATTACTCTAAGATACAATATAAATTAAATATCTTATAGTGAAGGTCAATTTCAGAAGGTTATGTTTTGGAGTCTTATGCCACGCTAATCTTTTAAAACAAGACATTATGACGTAACACTTTTTCCTTCTTTTAAAAGTGTCTAAGATCTAAAATACATTTTAATAGGTACATAAAAAATTTGAATTAATCATATGAATATTTTTGTGTTGGTGTCGTCTATGAATACTATTGGTCTATCGGCAATTTCTCAGTAAGACTCCCAACTCTGCATCAACAGACTATTTCAACGATAGACAGTTTTCTTCAGATTTCTTTTTAATCGATTTATTTTCGCGGTGCGAGTATATAGTGGAGGAAGTGAGAAGAGGGAGAGAGAGAGAACCGAACGTCAATAGGTCGGCCAATTAATTATCCACTTTTCGTTCGTGGCTTTTCTCCATAAGGGGAATTGTCAGACAAATATCAGAGCTCTTAACTTCTCAGCTCCGCAAACCGAACTCCCAGTTTTCAAGCGTTTTTCCTGTCATACCAAAATTTAGACAACGACAATCCCTCACTGACAGGATTCTACGGCCATTGGGAGTTCAACCCAGCGACTCAGTTCAGATGAACAAAAATTCTGACCAGAAAACCAAGGTCTGAAATTATATTCACGAAAATTATCATTTTGTCAATTCTTGCTTAACCTAGACATTCTGCAACAATGCCTTGGTAAATTTTTTAATTGAAGTTGAATTGTAATTTAAAACACGTGCTAGAATTCACGTTTTAAATTATACAGAATAACCTAAAGTTATCAAAACCTTCTCTCTATTAGTCACCTGAAAGATCCCTTCTGATCCCCGTCACCATGGTTGATGCTAACCACCATGATAGTGACCCCTTGCGCCTTCTCGACCTAACATTTTAGACTGACATGAAGTTGAAAGATTATAATGAATTCATTGCTAGGCCTGCTGCTAATAAAGTTGGTCCACTGTGTCGTTCTAGACAATTTTTATCTCCTGAATCTATCTTGCATATCTATAAGTCTGCCATTCGTCCATGCTTTGAACATTGCTGCCACATATGATTCGGTGCTCTTCCTGCATACTTAAAGATTCTTGATAAAATCCAAAGAAGAATCAGCAATATTATTGGTCCTGACCTGTCGTCTCGGCTTCAGTCACATTCTCACCGGTGTAATGTAGCTTCTTTGTGTCTTTTCTATCAATATTTTCATGGAAATTGTACGGATGAGTTCTCCGCTATGGTACTCATTGGGGCTAATTTTTTAAATTGTTGCTTTATCCCCCCCCCCTACAGACAATGAATTGTACATATGAGGACTAGTTAGGATTTTTGTAGAGACAATGAAGTATTATGGTGGATGTAGTAAGAAATGTAAGTGAAAATGTGTTGTTTTGGTGTTAGGAATAATATGGTATATTTGGGTCAATGTTTGTGGCTAGTTAAGGTTAATGTTAAAACAGAATAAGACCGCCCTTTTCCCCATTTCCCATTTTGGCCTTGTACTACATTTTGTAAATATTACAAATAAATATCGCTCTTCGCTATGGTACCTAGACTTTATGAATTTAAGCGCAGTACTAGATTGGCGGTAAGGTCTCATCAATTTCCAGTTGAATTGGCTAAATATAGCCGTAAGTTCTATGTTAACAGTTTATTTTCTTGCATTTCTCGCTAATGGAACTATCTTCCAGCCCCATGCTTTCCAGCCAATTTTGATCTTCAAAAATTTAAATGCAAAGTCAATCGTTAATTCCTGTCTTTATTATTGTTCTTCTATTGTTATCGCTGCTTACTAATGTTTATCTTTTTTCTTATTCTTTCACAATCAGTAAACCCTTGTGTCTTTACTGCCTTGCATGGGATGAAATGATAAAAAAAAGGTTCTAATGTTTCTTCAATTTAATATTAATGTACTCAGTAGAAACAGCATAATTCTTTGTTTCCACATTGCTCTTAAAGTAACTTCTCGCGACGCCATTTGCAGGTTGAAGAGAACACGTTGGCGTTCTCATTGTTTAACATTGTAACCGATATCTGGGGATCATTCATATTTCTTTTTTAATTTTTTCTTCTCTGCGACTCCATAGAACCTTTCAATAACTATCTAGCTCAGTAGTTCTCAAGCTTTTCTTTCAACCATGAATCACTTTTACTCTTATTATTTTTTTTTGAACCCCCATAACTTTTTGACGAAAAAAAAAGCTTATTTAATTTTTTATTAATGGATAAGTTTAGGAATTGTATTATAAAGATAGTAAATCTATATGCTTTGTTTTGAAGTAAAACTGATCTAATGAAAATAAACTTGTATTAACAACTAAATTCTATGGAACATTTAGGTACACTAGTACTATAGTAATAGATATAGTAATAAACTCGACATTGTCTTCGACTATTATTGACATCGAAGGAGCCGAATTAAAAAAAAAACTCGTAGAGCAGCCTCAACCACAGGGATTTCATTTCATCGAGTTTTTTTTTTTAATTCGGCTCCTTCGATGTCAATAATAGTCGAAGACAATGTCGAGTTTATTACTATATCTATTACTATATTAATTAATTTATATTAATATATTAATATTTTATTTTATTGCATTAATATTTAAAATAAATACTATTATTTATTATTAATATATTAAATTAATTTATATAATAAATTATAATCTTTATATAATTTCTTTTATATATATAATCCTTTCTTTATATATCTTTCTCGGCTTTAGTCAACTTTTACAATCAAAACCTCCGATAGAGTAAAAGGGACGCTAAAACTTACATCGCTTGATCTCGTCTTCTGCCAGTTTTAGAGTTGTTTTTTTTTCTATTTTTAATATTTTAATATGGCGCAGACGACTGTAGAAATTCCAATTCTCAGATATAACATCCATTCCAAATTGAAATTGCTCTAGGGACCACTAAAATATTACCATGGGCCCCCAATTTGCTATTTTTGTGTGGGGCCCCAGAGCCTATATGGAACCTGTTTGTGAACCACTGATGAAGCTCAAGAGACATATTTATGCTCTCTCTTTTCAACAACAGATGGTATTGTGGCGATGATTGTAGATACTTGTTTGTCTTATATATCTGACTGCATTCATTACTCCTTTACGCTTGGCTGCGGGTAAAGATTAACAAAGCCTTTCTTTCTGTCGCTCTCATTCTCTATCACTTCTTTTTCCTCTTTTTCGCTTTCTTTTTCTCTCATATTAGTTAATAGTAATTATTTTCAATTGAATCAGCTGACAATCGGAATATAAAGTCAAATTAAACAACAAATATTACTTCAACACGTTTTCGGCCACAAGACCCATAAATGAATCTTGTAGCGTGATTTATTTTTCTGCGCGTCAGTTCTATGGTTTTATTTAAGACAATGTAAATAATAATGATAACGTAACTATTCACATTGTATTTTGTATGAACACTGCATTTCTTTGTTGTTTTGTAGAGCTTTTTCTTTGGTTTGGGTTACGACCATGACACACAAATGAGTCACATGCCACTATTTAAAAAAAAAAAAACAAACAAACAATGCTAGTACCGAAAACTAATTTAATGAATTTAACATTATTTACAATTTTTTTTTAAATTATTTCACTCAAAACAAGGCAATAAAGCCACTAAGATGCTATGGGTTACTGAGAGTGAAAGAAAATAAGACTTTAATGACGTGAAAGGCCAATAAAATAACAGGATTCAGGAAGAAGTAAGATAACAGTTGACGTTGCATTTAAAGACGGTAGATGACAAGGAAACAAGAAGTCGGAAGAGAGATCCACAAGCGAGAAGTGCGAGAAAGGAAATGTCTAGAATTGAGCTTACAGTTACATCTATCTGATTCAGCAGTAAAAAGATGAGGCCTATTTGCCAATCTAGTAATACGCTTGAAATTCATGAGTTTGCGGTAACAAGGAAGAAAGCTTATTAACATAGTTGCTATGTAAATATTTATAGAAAAGACAGAGAGAAGCCACGTCACGGTGGTAGGAAAATGACTGAAGCCGAGAAGCCAGGACAGGACGGATAACATTACAGACCCTACTTTGGATTTTCTCAAGAATCTTGAGATATATAAAAGGAGCACCAGACCAGATATGGTAGTAATATTCAATGCACATAGAAATGGTAGATTTATAAATATCTAAAGTGGAATCTGACGAGAAAAATTATTTGGCACATTATTTGGCAGCGAATGTTGGACGATTTCCTTAAAGATGAAGAAGAGACTCGAGACGACAGAGATGTGGTTCTGCAGAAGGATGCTAAGGATATCATGAACCGAGCGTGTGAGCAACGATGAGGTCTTAGAGAGGTTGCAAACAAGGAGGAGGCTTATACTTAACATCAGGAAGAGGCAGCTGAAGTTTTTGGAACAACGCGTGACCCGAGCCTCATCGTTCTTATATAAAGCCTGATAGACAAATTCACAAAAAAACTATTAACACGCCAGCGGTTGACATAAACGCCATATTGTTTATCTGAAAGAAGGCCGTTTGAAGTGAGATACTTAACCAATTCAGAGTTGATTGGAATTTCTAGTACTTTGCCAAAAAGTGGTAAAAGAATAATAGGGTGATATTTTAGGGGTTAAGAATTTTCACCAGAATCTCGTAAAGACATGGAATACAGAAGAGAATTTCCAAATAAAGTAAAAACAATCTAATTCAGCAAATACTTTTACAGCGGGCATGGAATTATTTAAGAGTTCAAATATCAAAAGTGGCAGTATGTTAACTTTAATTTAATTTACCGATATAGCGCTTAAGTACTCTTACATGTATCTTATCTATCTATATATAAAATTCTGTGACTTCCATTTGTCCGTCCGTCAGACCCTCTAAAATAGCCATACATTGACAGATCAAAACCAAATATTTGGGAGTAGTGCAAACAGTTAAGGGGTAGTTAGTTTTGCTAGGGTGCTTTTTTTTATGAAATTTTTCGCACTCTTTCGAAATTATAAATTTTAAATCATAATTTGTTTAGCTTGCCTCGCAACAACTTAACCCACAGAATAAAAAATTACCAAAAATCAGTAGGTTATTCATATTTCGTAAATGCGGATGATATTCGAGGTACTTACAAGGAATTTGTATAATTTAAAAATAAAAGAAAAACTCTGTTTTTATATTGTCTATCAGGGTGAGTGAAAACGTGGGCCCCCCACACTTAAAAATATCGCACCCGATTCGCCCAGATTTGGAGCAATAAAAAAGGTCAACACAACCGGAGTGCAATGGAAGGGCATCGCTCTAGGGGAATTTGGTGTGCATTTTAGTAAATATAAATTCTTTTTATTCTGGGATGAATTAATATGCTGGTGTGAAGTAACAGATAAGATATGCAATTTCTAATAGTAATTTCACCAAATTAAAATATAGACGGCATTGAGGTTTCAAATACCAAAAGTAGCAGTGAATCTATTAAAATCAAATTATTCTTTTACTATAAGAAATTAGGTTTTTACTTTTTTTTTCTTGATATTATTATGAAGAACTACCTACATTGAGTATTCATCTCGTAAAAAGTAGTGAAAAATTTGGGGGATAATTTTCCTAGATAAAATCACATTTGTCAGAATCACAAAATATTGATTTTTTTTTTATCGATTAAAAATGTTGTCATCTTCATAATATAAATACAGTCACAAATCGATCCCTTGACTTTTAACAGAGTTATGTGTATTTAGTTCTTTATTTACAAATGTCAAGTTTGAAATTTTGTTTTTATTTTTAAAACATTTTTTTTTAAACGTTTTAGAGAATTTTCGAATGAACAAGCACAGACATTGGGAATAATAATAATAATAATAATAATAATAATAATAATAATATATCTTGAATGAAAAATAAAGAGATATGCTTTTATTAATTGTGCAACTTTAGCAGTCACAGGGGAGTAATGCATTTTGGCGCCGAGTTTGAATTCCAGTCGTGTTCATTGCTTTCCCGTACGCAGGAGTCCATATCTTCTTCACCCCAGCTATGGGTAAATAGCAGGACAGATGGGCCCTATAGCTTTTGATAGCAACCAGTCTAGAATATGAAAAAGTCTTAATTCAAACCAGTATGGAGAGAGTTACGCTCTGGCAAACTGTCTTGCTCAAGATGACTACAGTAGACGTGGTTCCCTTGATAATCGTGAACTTTTGTTCTTCATCATATATATATATATATATATATATATATATATATATATATATATATAAGAAGAATCAATACCGTTTGTGGAAGCAATGAACAACTTGCTAATAAACAAGATAAAATCTCGAACAAGAACAGCAAAAAGAAAATGAAAATGACCTAATGACAAACGTCTATATATTCAATAAAGTGCTTTACGTCTAGATTGCCTAGATGTTTCTTCTTTATTTAAAATATATGCTTTTATCAAGTTTTGGAAACTCATGTTCTTTATTAAATTCCTGTTGTCACAACTTTGTTGGGCTGCTCATGTTGCAAGGAGGAGTGACGACAGAATACCTAAGCTCCTCATGTATAGCCAGCTTCACAGGGGACAATAGACTATTGGACGGCTATGACTCAGATATAAAGGCAAGCTAAAGTGTAACCTCTCGGTTATCAATGTGCCTTATACTAACTTCGAACGAGTTAACCTGGATAGAAATAACTGGAGATATTAGTGCCAGAATGGTATCAGAAATTTCGAAATCACTCGTATTGACCTGCTAAGAAGACGAAAGACAACGGCGAAAAGTCAGGGATCAATTTTACTCTGTATCGATATTAGGAAATGATAAAAATTAATATTTTTCGCTCCTGACAAATGTCGCACCTTAAGGAACGTTGAACGAATGTTAATCTATAAAAATTATTTCCTCAAGTATTATTTTCCCTATTTCTACGAGTGGACCAGTCTATTTAAGTAGTACCGCTTATGACGTGGAGCATCACCAACCAGGTTCTTAAACATAAATTATGTCATCTCTGCTAATGCCAAGAAACAGCTACAACAACACTGATCTTTAGTGCTTTATTAAATACGATTTCCTGCTGGTTTGCAAGGATTCGCCTCTGCATGGATTCGGTCAGAGAGTTTATGAGAGTGGTCAAGCACTATATGGCAGGGTTTAGTGCGTTTGTGAACACGGTTAGGTGCGAGGTTTAAGTCATTGTCAGTGAAGATAAAAAGCGGTCAGAATGACCCTCATATATCTGAGCGAATACTTGACCAAGTAAGTTCGTGTTGAAAGGTTTTCTCTTTCCGGGAAAGAAATGGTGGGGAAATAGTATAAAAGAAGATAGAAAATAAGCAATGAAAAGAATAGAAGAAACGAAAGCGAGAAAGATATAAAAAAAGAAAAGTAAAATATTAAGAGATCAGAGAAAAGCGATGAGAAAATAACAAAAGCAGATATAAAAAGAAATGAAAAAAAATGATAATTGGAAAAAAAAATGTTCGGAATGGGGTGAGAAATACAAAAAAAAAACGTGGATGCGGGGAAACTGTGGCTTAGAAGGTATAAAAGGCTTTCAAAATAAAACACGGAAGAAAAATATTGAGAAAAGAACAGTAAAGACATATATAAAAATGACGGAGAAAACAAAAATAATAGAAGAGGAAAAAGATGAAAAGGTAATAAAAAATTAAGTAGAATAAATAAAGAAAATAAAAGCCTTGCATATTGGATGGTAGTAAAAAAAATGAAAGTCAATGAAAATACTGAATTTGGATGTACGGGTCAGATAAGAAGTTAACGGAGTGCGGGGGTGTTTGTATAGGAAATATAATATTGATGAACAAAGGAGAGAGAAAGAGAGAGAAATGAAGGAGGATGGATATTCTTAATCCGTTAAAAGCATTTTGACGTGTCCTTATTTCTTCTTCCGTTTTGTGCTATTTTCTTCTACTCTTCCTCCATCTTTTCCGTTCACCTCAGCTTTATTCTATTTCCATTTGCCTTTTCTTCACACATACCTTCTTTCCCACAAATACGTTTTCTTTTTCTTTTTGTTTTTTTTTTTTCGTTTTATTTAGTTCCATACTTTCACAGATCATCAACTCATATTTTAATATGTTGAACATTTTTTAGACGTTTCTTCTTTTTACTCATCTTTTTCTCCTTCAGCCATTTGTACATTTTGTCATTTTTTTCTTTCTTTCTCTTCTAATGTTTCTTTCGTTGTTTTTTCTTTCCGTCATTGTTTTTTTTTTTTGTTCTTCATAGATATATTTCTTTCTGATTTTTCGTTTTCTGTCTTTCTGTCTTTCTTTCTTTCGTTCGTTTTTTTTTCTACATGTCTTTTCTTTTCGTTCTTTCTTTCGTCCTTTCTTTCTTTCGTTCTTTCTACGTTATTTTCTTTCGATCGATCGTTCTTTCTGTTTTTGTAGGCATCTTTCTTTCCTTTTTTTCTTCCTTTCCTTCTTTTTTCTTTCTTTCTTTCTTTCTTTCTTTTTGCACTTCAGTGTTATGTCAGAATAAAAACAAATTGGGTAAAAAGTCAAAGGTTACTTAGAACAGCAAAAAGGGAGACATTATGGAGAGACATCATCACCTACGTCTTGAAAGGATATGACATATAACAAAAATGAAAGTTAATATTTCTTTCGGCATGCGTTCATTTTTTTTTTTTTTTTGCATTCTTTTTTTTTGTTTTATTTTCATTCCTTGTTTCTTTCTTTCATTTTTCTCTTCATCATACTCTTCTTCCTTTATTTTTCTGCTTCCTGTACCTCTTTCTTTTTGTCTTCCTCTATACCGCTTTCTTTATCTGCCTCTTATGCTTCTTTCTCTCATTCTTTTCTTTCTCTCTTTCTTTCATTCCTTTTTCTTTCTTTCTCTCTTTTTTCTTTCTTTTTCTTTCTTTCTTTCTTTTATTCCTTCTTACTTTCTTCTCCCTTCCCTTCATTTTCTCTATTATTTATTTCTTCTCTTTTAGTACTTTCTTTCTATCTTTCTTTCTTTCTTTCTTTCTTTCTTTCTTTCTTTCTTTCTTGTTCCCTTGACATTTCAGTCTACTTCCTTTCTTTTCTTTTTTCTTTTTACTTGTGTTTATTTTACGTCAATACTAAGTTCGCGTTCCTCATTCGCATCGTTTTCCAGCCTCCACGCACACAGATAAGCGTTCGCAAATTCCTACACTCCTACACTGTTTCTATTAACTCTTTTTTTTTTACCAAATTAGGCACTCTTAAAGTTATTTAAACTAATCTACCCATTGGCTGGCACTGTGTTCTTGAAGTAGGAGTCTTCAACAGCAATTGATCCTATTTATGGACTCAAGAAAAAGAAGAAATGAATCTCTAAGTACGTTACTGTTCGGTTGTTGAATACTTCTCTGGTTTCCTTAGTTAAGACTTTTACAGCTTAGATCAATCATGCTATGTACAAAGGCGCGAACGATCCTCAATGGATTGGTAAGAAGGCAGTTCTATTCGGATAGCTTCTTCCAATGAGTTGCTGCTTTGTGGAACAGACTCCTGAGGGAATGCTTCCCGATCACTATAATCTTAACATCTTCAACTCAAACATTAATCAGACATACAGCGACGTCGCATTGAAACACCGGTTCCTGTACGATCACCGAAGTTAAGTAACATCGAGTCTGATTAGTACCTGGATGGGTGACCGCTTAAAAATACCAAGTACTATAAGCTTGGACGTGTCGGTGATGTAATGGATAATGGCTCGAAATTGTTTATCGGAGAGCCAAGTTCTAATTCCAGTTGAGTTGGTTATATTCACTTACGCGCAAATACCCGTGGGAAATGTATAAACCTACCTCTTCTCCACCAGCTATGGGTTAATTAGTAAAACTTGTATCCCTAAAACCATTATTATCTAAAAAAAATTGCTTATTTATTTAGATATCGACATGAAATGACCCATAGAGGTGTTGATATGACACTAAACAAAACAACCAAGCCAAACCAATCTATGGTTAACCGTTATATATCTTAATTATCATTATAACTTACAATTTGGAGGTATTTGAAAGAACCCCATTTAGTAATGGTTTACCTTGTGTAGCTATTGGGCCTTCTATCGGGTAAAGAATAGTGTAAAAAATGACTTTATTTATAAATACTAAAAACCTGAGAACCCGAAGACATACTTCTGTCTGTTCTTGGCAAGATTCTAGATATCCAAGCTATAAATGACGGTTAAGGTGTATCTCTATCTATAAAAGGCAGGATGTGTGTGTGTGTGTGTGTGTGTGTGTGTGTGTGTGTGTGTGTGTGTAACGAATGCACGGCCGCAATTTTCGACGGATTTGCACCAAAATTTACATGCACATGCTCCAAGTTAGTGGGAAGGCCAACACAACATCAGCACGGCAAAGAGCACTCCTTTAAAGGCAAGGAAGGGCAAGAATTACACAGAATTTAAAACATACATCCTATTATTCATCTGCAAAGTTTCAGATATTAATTATGTACAGTTATTAAGTCATTAGAAATTATATACGCTTCAAGTAGGACACTTTAAAATTGAGCCGAGCATTTTTTTTCCTATTAGATATTTTGTGTCTGCTAGACGTCCGCGCAATTCTTGGAGCATTTTTTTCGAGTGAGATGTCAATAAAAGGACAACATATCAAGTAGCCAAAGTCCAAGCAGTCCACATGATAGTACGGGTAACAGCCAGATGTAATAGTCCGAGTCGAAGTCACGAGGAAGTTTTTCTGTGTTTCATTTATCCCCTGACGCACGAAGAGTATCTTCATATGAAGAAATTGGACTATAAAAGGAAAAAAAAAGAGGATAAACTTTTTTGTAAGACAACTCAACAATTTCTGGAGTATAAAAATTTTGGATATATATTTTATCTGCTTTCACCTTTCCTTTTTCGTTGTCCACACGGTCAAAATGTTCACCCCACTCAAACCTCGACAATCTAATAATTTTCGATGTGCTTTTTTTCTTCTTAGCATCAGAAAGCAGCAGAAAACTGTAAATAGAAAAAATATTCCATGAAAAATGGGTCTTAATTATCCTGAGTATAATAATCAAAATTCCACAAAGCCACTGATATATATATATATATATATATATATATATATATATATATATATATATATATATATATATATTGTTACAGTAAGCTTCACTCTGTACAAGGCCCGGGGGCAACTCGAGGTAGAGGGTTACGTTAAGTGGTAGTTTATCTAGATAGGGGGTAGAACTATAAACTGAAACAGGCTAAGATTGTAGTGAGCGGGAAGACATCTTATCGGGAGTCTGTTCCACAGAACTGTGGATCACGGGAAAAAGCTGTTCGAGTGGAACCTACTTTTTGCCGATGGAATACAGAGAAAATGTCGGTGGTCTTCCGCAATGTAAATGGCATGGCGAGTCCTAACCGTCTAGTTTAGACCTGGCGGAACTAAGGAATGTAATTCGTCCGGAGACTTTCCATGAGAGAAGCGATATAGCAGTGAGAGTCTCGCCACATACCGTCTGTGAGACAGAGGTTAGTGGGTGGAAAATAATTTTTCTCCAACAAGGACTCGGATACGCTCTATCTAGAAAGTGAGAACTAGGCATCTCCCACCCAAATATGGCAACAGTACTCCATTTTCGGTCTGATCTGGTTTGATCTGGAAAGGTAGAGGATAGCATGATGAATGAGATAGAAGCGGTACAGGAAGCCGATCATTTTACCTGAATCTTTAGCGCTAAATCGTATATAAGGGTCCCACTTTATTTCGGGTGTGAGCTTGAGGCCCAATATTCTCTCAAGGCACAGTGCCTCCTCGAGGAGACATCCGTTCATCGTGACTGGCGGTTGTCCGAGGTCTGATCGGTGGTGATGGAATATAATATTTTCGGACGCGAATAATACTTCCGTGATTCTTTTTGTGTGCGCTTAATTTATTTCAGTCGTCGTTTAAGTTCACAAAGGCTAAAAAAGCACAGACAATGTCAATCAACCGGATAACGGTTTCATTACGACCAAACATATTGCAAAATAATCAATGATAAACAATAGCTTTTGTGACTAAAAATTAAAAACAAGAAACGTGAAAAAAAAGAAAGAAAAACAAAGAACGTATTAAAAAAAAATCAAAGTTAATCGATTTAAGAAATACGACCAAAAATATCTATTATCTTTTTCCCCATTTTTGTCCGACCTTTGGAATCGTCTAAGCTGATATAAACTGACTTTCCTCCACAAATTATTCTCTTTTGTTCCACAAATCTTTTGTTAATTCATGGTCTCATAACCGTCGCTACCTCGCGTGTTTGTTCAGGACAGGTCAGCCGTCTTGATTAAAGAACGCAAGTTGCTATCATTCCGCCTTCCTCCCCATTAGTGCCTCAGGGTAGGAGACGCCAGTTACCATGATGCAATATTAAACATGGCGACCTCTGTTAGTATTCGTCCCTTCTTCTCCTCGACTAATCTCCTTCGAGTTTCCATTATTCGATTTTTCTTTGTTATCCGAACTTTTATTATGAAATAATCATCATTGCTTAGCTATTTTCATCAATTGCGAAAAGATTTATCTTCGTTATTTGTTCTTGGGCAGCATTGCACACACATGCAAACACACACACATACGCGCGTGCTCGTACACACACACATACAGATAGATAGATAGATAGATAGATAGATAGATAGATAGATAGATAGATAGATAGATAGATAGATAGATTATTCATCATTTATTCAGATAGCGCATTTTAAGCCGCTGTGATCACCACTCCCTTCTGTTGTGGTTCATGGTGACATTCAAAGCAAAATAGTGCAAGGGCTCGCTGCTTCCTTTTCCACCGGGGATATTAAGGTTATCTCGTCCGTCTTCTCAGAAGTTCCTTCTCCCACTGATAAAGCCGTTGACCTATGAGGCCTAGACTGGCGACTGGCCGATAGCCGCTTGACACATGTGGATAAGAGAGAGGCGTTCCCCTTCACCAGTCGTACCGGAAAACACTTCCGTCTATCCCTCGGACATTTTTCTTCTGCCCCTCTTAACTTCAACATGTCCTGTGAGTATTGAATTTTCCAAGCCTTATTTCCTTGCAATTCTTTAGATATTCTTACAATTCACAGGAATTTTTTTTAACTTCAGAGTATTTTGCTATTAACCCCTAATATTTAATTTTTAGGCCAATCTAGAAAAAGAGGGGGGAACTGAACTGGTTTAATTTCAACGAACAAGTCTGTTTGAATTATGGGATCGTGGTAATTAATGAATTCATTTTAGGAACACTGATTAATATAGTTGTCTTAGTTACGTCGAAACACCGGTTTCCGTACGATCACTGAAGTTAAGCAACATCGAACGTGGTCAGTACCTAAATGGGTGACCGTTTGAGAATACCAGTTCTTGGAAGTGCGGTTGGTGTAATAGGTAATGGCTCGGAAGTGTCAATCGGAGAGCCGAGTTCCAATTCCCATTGGGTTCGCTATGTTATGATGCTGTTTGTAACCAGGGTAGTTCCAGTGCACAAATCTGAAGGTAGATATCCCTGAATTTCTGTTGAAGAGAAGATTCAACTATCTTGTGAACAACCTGGGAAATATTCAGAATTCTGTCTTTTGACTTGTAAAAGGGAATTACCAACAAAATCTATTGCAACATTTTCGTGTTCATTTCTTCGACTTCCATTACTTTGGTGTTCATTTTTGACTTTCAACTTTTAGTTGAAGCCTGAGTAGGGAAACACCAGGTCGCCAAAGAGACTTGAAGAACGCAGGCGTGTTGCGAATAGCTTCAAAAATGTTTGGAACTGTTTTATTTGATTTGAGGATTTCAACTGAAACTAGTGGGTAGATAAAACGCCTGTATTTGTTGGCAGTTATTTTTTATGTTTAAAACAACTGAAAGAAAAGTTTAATCTTGGAAATTTTAGAATTTTTCTCTGAAAACGTTTCTCTAAGTAGTTCAACATTTTACAAACAAAACGGAAAAATCAATTTTTTTTAGCCCTTTAAATTATTTTGTTTGGTTCAAAATGGCTGTTATAATCCAAATGCACAATATTTTCTATTTTCTTTTATACTGCGATGTACAAATTTATTTCTCAGAACATTTGGCTACAATAGAGATCATAAAGTCCAGCAACTAATTCCTGTTCAATTGACCTTTGAAAGTAGGAAGCCGAATCTGACCACATCCGCCTTACCATTTTTGTGGTCAAAACCATTTTTGCATTTCATAGCAAATTCAATATATCAGTCCATTTAGCTTGAAGTTGCTTCAATTGGCTGGAAATTGAATTCTGTGAGTTTGGTGACCTTGAATGACCTTCAAGATGAATCTCACATCACCGATATCACATATGGATATCCCGTGAGTCTATATTCCAACATAACGAACTCAATATTTTCCACCATTTTAATAGAAATTACCTCATTAGGCTGGAAATTTTATGGTATACTGTTTAATTATTTCTGTTGACCTTGATTGATATCTGAGGTCAACATTTCATAGCCTATTTCACAACTGGATGGCTTGCGACTCTTCATTAAAAACAATGAAGACAATAGGCCTTGTCTTTTGAATGTGATCTTGGAACAGACACACAAACAGAAACTACCTATTTTAATATAGCTTTGTTCGTCTGAGTATTTTCTAGTATTTGAAATCAAATTTGTATTTGAGATCTCGGAGTGGTATATCGTACTGATTGGACATCTTTGCAGCAAAACAAAAACGTTTTTTTTTAAAAAAAAAAAAAAGAAAATCTTTATTTTAATTAATGCACAGTTAGCAATAATCATATGCAAATTTTTTCACTGTTGAAAATAATTTTTGTCATTGCTATTGCTATCGAATATCGGCAGGCTGCCCAAATTTATTTTCAGCACAGAGACTCTCTCTTTCTCTTCTACTCTCTCTTTCTGATAAGCAAGCAAACGATTGAAAATTCTTTTTATGATAGCTGAAAGGAGGCCGTTCTGTCAATTTGTACACATGAGAGCCGAGTTGCTATAGCAAAGAAGGAGCGAAAGTGTTGTCCTATCAGCGCTGTATTTGCGTTCATTGTCAAGAAGAAAGCGTAAAAGGAAGAAATCGCCCCTCGATATCATAGTCGCAGTTTGTGCTGATGTAATACAACTAGGAATAGCAAAAATTTAGAGCAGTACCAACAGCGCCATCTTCATCATCATCACAAAGAGCAACTACGACAGCAAAAAAAAAAAAAATGATAATGCTGATGGTGCTATTGGAAATGATAATGATGATACCTTTTACGGAGATGAGATTATTATTATTATTATTATTAATGCTTTCGTTGATAATATGATTTACAGAATTGAAACTGCTGTTAGAGATATTATCATCATCATCATCATCATCATCATCATTATTATTATTATTATTAATATTATTATTATTATTATTATTATTATTATTATTATTATTATTTCCTACATTATTATTATTATTTCTTGCATTTGCATTTTCCTACCAGTAGTCTTGGGGTCATCGATGGAGGTCTGGGGGTCATAAATGAAGATTGAGTGACAATAAATCTGCTCAAATCTTCGACGTCTTTCTCAGTATCTCCGCAGAGGCTCTAGCGGCGCGAAGATCGAGACAGTCAATACTTTATAATTCATCCAATCTCGATTCAAGTGCTCCAAGTGCACTTGCTATTATGGGCACGACTATAACCTTCATTATCCATATATTTGTCAGCAAGATCCTAGTATATTTTTTTCCAATCTCATTGTCGCTAATATTATTTGTAGAGCTGCGATCTTTGTTTAAGACATCATCATTATTATTATTATTATTATTATTATTATTATTATTATTGGAAATAATGCATAGGAAGTTTCTACTGTTCATTATTTCTTTTTAAAGACACAACCTTAACCTGCATATCCCACATTTTCCGTAACTCTCAGGCGGGGTTCTTCCAATTTTGCTCTAGAGCTCACACCAAAAATGTCCGCAGTTAAATTATTATTATTGTTGTTGTTGTTGTTGCTGTTGTTGATATGATTTTTATTATTATTATTATTATTATTATTATTATCGTTATTGTTATTATTATTGTTATTGTTATTTTTGGTGGTGATGGTGGTAGTGCTATTCTAAATTAGTGATGCTGATAGTTCATTCATATTAATAATTATAGTTGTAATTATTATCTTTGCGTGAATTAAGGATTTATATATTGTTATCCTTTATTGAGATGCTCATTTATCATCGCTTATATGTTCTGTCGCTTCAGGGCCAGTGTGGTCATGGCCTTCCACAATTTCCATTACCCTTGTACCTCTATGCAACGTTTTACCATCTCTTCCTGTTCCTGCTCCGAAACTCATCCACACAAACCAATTGAGTAAATTGCTCGCTGTTTTCATTTAACTTACCCACACCCCAATTACCTCCTGTGAGCAGTAATTTTTCCAAGCCGTCTTCCCTCATTACGTGTCCCAGCTATGTCAACTGCCTCTTTCAGATTTTAAGTAAGAGTGTCTTTCCAGTTCCAATTTTCTGTAGAACTTCATTGCTCCTGTGTTCTGTCTATAGTAATAACCGTATACGTCTGTAGAATCGCGTTTGATTAACTTCGAGTTTTTTTCTTCATCTGTAAAGAAATTGTCTAGCATTCACTGCAATACAGGAGGAAAGATCTAATATAACATTTCATTACTTGTTCTCATCATCGTCTTAATTGTGAGGCTTTTCGATAAGGTTGCTCGGAATATCGAAAGTATAGTTATTAATGATATATATTTTACTACTGGCGAATTTCTGGTATGAGAAGTTATCATTATTTACATTACTTACTATCAAATTAATTCTCTTATCAAATTAATTCTCTTATCTTGTCGTTATGTCCTCGGATCCTTTTCAGGTACACTAAAGATGTAGGGTTGTTGAATCTTGATATCAGTGCAGTATTCATCTTTGGTGCAACAAGAAAGGTTCTGCCGCAGAGTTGTAATCCCTGAGAGCAGATTTTTTTATTTGTGATACCGAGTCCATGAAGTTGTTAGATGTTGATTCTGAGCAGAAAAGGGTTAAGCCCAAAATTGAATATAGGCTAAAGATATATATATATATATATATATATATATATATATATATATATATATATATATATTTATTTTAAAATATTTTTAAATAATTAATTATATTTTTAAATCAATAATTATATTTAGGCTCTACTTTTGTATCAAGCACTGTTTTTTTTTAAATAATAACAAAAATACTAAAGAACTTTGGATTATTTACCTAACGAGTTCTTTCCTATTTTCTATATATTTTCACACACACACACACGCACACACACGCACGCACATATACATATACATATATATATATATATATATATATATATATATATAGAGAGAGAGAGAGAAGTGATATTTTCTTGGATTTCTTCTCTTCTAAAGTTTATTTTTCATATCTATCGAGAGTCTGGCATGCAGACGAAAACAGATTTGGTGAACAATTTTTACTCTTCTTTGAGAATTTAGGCAAACATATTTTCGTTGACAAAACCTAATTGGAAAATGAAAATAAGAAGCGAGCCCGTTGTGAGATGGGCTGAGTTAGAATGCCGAGAAAGAAGAATTAAAAGGGAGGACTTAGTGCCGCCTGTGTGGAGTGGTGATGCGAGATGTGAAGTGAAGCAGTTTGGAGTTAGGGGAGAAGTAATCCATGTAACTATTCCTGAGAAGGCAGATGATTCTTCAAATTTGCAAAGTTGAAATAGGGAACAAAGAACCCTTATTAGAATTAATGTGAAAATTAAAGAATCAACAAATCCCAAGAATCCTTCAACCCCATGCCAGGTTTGGGCCGAAGTGCATATAAGCAGATTACTTTGGGAGTTTGTGGACTTGGGCTAAGAACTCCCGTATTGAATGCCTCTGGGATCCACGTCAGCTGCTACCAGATTTTCTGATTCTGAAGAACTTTGAACCGAAATTATTAGGCGAGACACCGAGTCACTATAGAGTATGATGCGGGAAGGGTTAATTTTTGTTGTTCGAAGACTATATATACTATTGAAGATTAACCTAATGAATTTTTCGTTTTATTTTTTTGTTGTGAAGATATTTTTTCTTTTATATAGAACCTGCCACGGCTTGAACTAGCGCTGTGATTAACACGACGTTCGATCTTCCACTGCTCGGAGATCAAGAACACAACGTGAACAGAGTTGGTTTGGATCGAAGCGGCCAGCGATCAGCAACCAACTTGGACCAGCGTCAGCATTGACCAGCGAAGAGTTAGTCCTGTGGTTAAAACCGTCGTCCTATGACTCTGAAGATCGGACTACTAAACGTGGTTACACCACCGAGTGTAGGCAAGAGGTGTTATATTAACTGATGTCCGTGACCAAAGATTTAACCCTAGGTTGATTTATTTTTTACGGCTTGTCAACCTTTATAAGGTTATTTAACACCGAAAAAATGTTTTAGATTATAAGAATCCTTTGGAGATAATAATTTCCAGATATAAGTCTTAGTATTTAACCCATACCTGAGAGGAGAAGAGATAGATTAATACCCTTCCAAAGAGTATTTGCGTGTAAGTGGGTGTAATGAACCTGACTGGAATTCGAACTCGGGTTTCCGGTTTCTCATTTCAAGCCATTATCCATTACACCACCTGCACATCCAAGCTTAGATTTTCCGAGCGGTCGCCCATCGAGGTACTGACCAAATTCAACTTTGCTTAACTTCGGTAATTGGATGAGAACCGGTATTTCAACATGATATGGCCATAAGCCTGGAGTAGGGTTATCTATACTTTAAAGAAGAGAACAGATACTATGCTTTGATCTCTGGCCCAAAATTATAAGTATCCAAAGGTTATTCATGTCTATTTAATGACGTCATAATACCAATATATCATCATCATCATCATCAGTCACATGTCCGAGTGTGGCAGTAGTGCCTCTGCGCAGCTCGAGCACTCGGCTGTTCCTTCCACATACCTATGTTGAAAGCTGTTCATACGTAGTGTGTCTTGGGCAAGTAGACCTGGTGGAACACCTCCCATTTCAAGTCAAACCAGAGGTTATGTCCTCCATCATGAAGGCACATTTTGTTGATTGCTGGTATTTTTACTAAAACAAAATTGTATTTTTATACCTACAGAGTGTTTTGTGTTTGTTTGCCTTAACAGATGTTACCACCTCGGGTCAGAGTGGACCTGGGAACAACAGCAATTATGAAGTGGTTCCACGTTCCTCAAAACCTCTAGTCTCTCGATCAGAGGCCTGGCTACCGGATGTACTGAATAGTGTTGTATGAGATGCGGTATCGCTTTATCCGTGCGGACCAAGCAGCAACTTTCTCCTTTAAGAGTGGTACCTCATCGTGTTTAGCAAGTTTGATTTGCAGAGCGTTTAATAGTGAGCACGATCCTCATTGGGCGACCTGCATTTGTAGCTTTGTACCAAAACTAACCTACGCTTTATAATTAACAATTATCTCTTTCAAAATGTCTACTTCCAAATTAGCGATACCCGTTCACTGTCATTCAATTGGAGACTACTTTTGCTACAAAAGCTAAGTTTACCAATTAATTACTTATGCAAGAAAAGCAATTAAAGTAATTAATATTGTGATTTAATTTAATTTCTTTATGCTATTTTCCGTTAAGGCGATCATAGCTATCTACAGCTTCTTATTAACTCTGAATTGTCATGTCTTCTAGCGAAAGGTATAATTAATTAGTGTCTTCTTACCTTCTTCAAGAGTTTTCTTCCTTTTCAACTAGAGATCACAGTCTAATCTTAGAAAGAATAAACAAATTCTTGCTTTTCCCGAAGGCACGAGTGAATTCAACAGACTAGAACAGAATTTGAACTTGGCTCCTTGATTTCACATTCCGCGCCGATATCCGTTAAACTACCTTCACATCCCTTATTACTGTTGTTGTTTCTAAAATTTTGCGATGCTTTTGTTACTACTATTAATATTACTATTACAATTAGTATGATTGTCGGTGTTTAAATGAGAAGCCCAGTGCAAATTAAAGCGTCGAGACCTTTTCAAATTGAAGTTATTGTCCACTAGTAATATTTTCTGTTAAAGCTTTCAGCAAAGGTAGTCTCTCGTTCAGTTAATCCCATTACCAGCCATCTTGAAGTATACTTGTCACTGGCAGGCCATGTTGGGATATAGTAGAAGATTATCATCAAATTCGGTGGTGTGTAAAGTAGCCGATATCAAGCCCAGACATCGAGGGGATTAGCTAGGGGGGGGGTCGATACAGGCTGGGGTCGATACAAGCCAGAAGTTGTATGAACGTTTCATATCGAAAGTTGGCAGGAAATAAACATGCATAAAATACAACTTACTGATATATATTTACAATTGTTAGGACTGCTCATCTTTATCGTCATATTCACGAAGTTTCGGCCGTTTTACGCTCCGGCCTTCTTCAGCTGATTTCGATTCTATCTTGTTTCACATTCTGCTGTGCGTGCGGATAAAATCACGTACCAGCAATAAAACCTCTACCTTGTGTGGCACTTAGGCCTGTATTAGGTGACCAATAGAAAAAGAAAGCCAACGTCTAGGCAATGACAAAGGTTTGTCCAGTTCCTGCAGGTCACAAAATTACAATAAAACCCCTCGAATGCTACGGAAATACCACTGATCCTAATTCCAAACTTGGGAAGTTGAATTTATACTCATCTTTCCACGGGGATGGGAGGTGACACAATGTATTTTTGGTGTATACTCGAAAAACTGTCCTTTTCCATCAGTGTATTGTTGCAGGCGTTGGGAAGTTCACTATTCCGTTAAGTGCAATGTGGAGATGCTGCTTGCAAGATGGACCTCCAGGAATCAGGTTCGTTTCATTTATGTCGTGTCTCGACTAAAGACAAAATATGATAGCATCCTTATATTTACTAAGCTAAGCTTCGTACGGCGACGCAAGTTCAAACACGTTAAAAGGGGGGTAAGACGACTAGACTGAGCTAATCTTCTAAATATGGAAGTCCTGCATATTTAGTAACGTGACATAAACAAAAAACAGACTTGTTACTGCTGACATCGCCTAAAGTTGGAGGCGAGGTTTATATTAAAGATCTAATCAGGATGATTCATTCTGTTTACCTGCTTGACAAGTGGCCATGTTTTTGTCTGTACTCACCTTCTATCTTTAGTCCTATCCAGCGCTGTCAATAACATTCTGTGACCGAGGGAAAGATATTGAGAATCACATTTGTATTGGAGAAGGTCATCATATATCTATGTCTACTTAAAAATCGTCATACATACCTGAAAATAGTTCGAGGAAGATATTCAGCTATTTCAGCTACGAGGCAATCGTAAACCTCGTACATACGAACGGTGATTTAAGACAAATAAAAAGATTATTAACAGAAATATTGCTAAAGATTTAATCACAATTTTATTATGTTAAGAATGGTTAAATCCTTCAAAAAACTAAGAAAAAGAAACAGCAGAGTTTTGAAAACAACAAAGAAACGAGTACTGAACTGTTATTTAATGTCAGTCCTCTTATATGGCAGTGAATGCTGGACAATCTCCTCAAAGGTGAAGAGACTTGAAGCAACAGAAATGTGGTTCTAAAGAAGGTTGCTGAAAATAAAATGGACCGAATATGTAAGCAACGACTAAGTTCTAGAGAAAATGCAAACAAAAAAAGACACTTATATTTAACATCAGAAAGAGATAGTTGAAATTTCTGAGGCACATAACGAGGAAAGAGGTCTTGGAAAATTTGATACTCATTGGACATAATGAATGCAAGAAGAACAAAAGAAAATGGCGCATAACCCCCTTCGCGAGTTTGTGTAAATGGATTGCAGAACAAAGTTTAGGGTAGATAGCAAAAAGACAAAAGTTATTACGAGCTACAAAAGACATGTAATTGGGCAGAGCCATAATCGCCAACGTCCTGGAGAGATACAGCAAATATAAGAATGGCTATATCACGTTGAAACACCGCTTCCTGTACGACCACAGAAGTTAATCAACGTCGAGCCTGCTCCTAGATGGGTGACCGCTTGCGAATGCCAAGCACTGTAAGCTTGGATGTGCGGGTGGTGTAATGGATAATGGCTCGTAATTGTTAATCGGAAAACCAAGTTCCAATTTCAGTTGGGTTCGTTATAGTCAATTACGTGCAAATACCCATGGGAAAGTAATGAATCCACCTCTTCTCCCCCAGCTATATGTTAATTAGTAAGACTTGTATCACTAACGCTATTATTATCTCCAAAAATAATTAAAAACATTGCGCACAAAATAGTTAGCCGTCGGCATTAAATAACACATAGTGGTTGATACGATGCAATACAAAAACAATCAAATAAACAATCGTTTATTTATATGTAGGAGAAGCGGCTTGTGGCCAGGTAAGTCCCAGTATGAAGTATGATGGAGTCCCAATCAAAAACCATTTTCTGGCTTAAGATAACCTGCAAAGCCATAAAAAAACGAATCAACAAAATAAAAGAAAAAAACAAGTGATAGACTCTGGAAAATGTGTCACTCATAAAATTCGGCATTAACCTTTGTAAAGACAGAAGGAACTGATACAACATTAATAGCAACGAAAATGCCAACATGAATAATGATATTGATGATTATAATGAAGTCGGTTGCCATAAACAGATCCATATTCCATCAAGGTATTGATTTTTCCATTGGACACTGCTATTCGCTTGGGAACAAAGAAAAAACAAATTCATTAAAAATAGAAGTGAATTATAAAACAAGAAAACTTTCAGCTGTCAATCGAAAGTAGAATTAACGTATTCTATATGCCTTTTCCATTTAGTACGTTAGACATCATGGCTCTCCTCAATTTCCTCTCCTTTGTAGCTCATAATAACTTTTGCCTTTCCGCCATTATTCCCCAAACCTGCTCTGCCATCCATTCACTCAAACACGCCGTCGGTGCTCATATGTTCGGTCCATGATATTCTCAGCATCATTCTGTAGAAACACATTTCTGTTGCTGTCAGTTTTCTTCTTCTTGATGACGTGGTCCAGTATTCACTGTCATATGAGACGACTGATATTTAATGTTACAGTACTCGTTTCTTTGTGTCTAACGATATTTTACTGTTTCTTAAAATTTTGGAAGGCATTTTTCGCTATCTGAATGCGCCTTCGAATTTCCGTATCGCACTTTCCGTCATCTGTTAATACGCTTCCAAGATATCTACATTATTGCCCCTGTCTGAATTCGGTATCTATAATTTTTAATCTGTATGTATGTCGGGTTCTTCGTTTAGCGGAGTATAAAATATTGTGCAAAAGCCAAGCTTATAAAATCAAACATAAATAAATAAGATAATGAAAGATATCAATCCACCTCTTCTCCCCCAGCTATATGTTAATTAGTAAGACTTGTATCACTAACACTATTATTATTTTAAGTGAGCACTTATCAGTACTGCTTTAGTTTGAATCATTATACCGCGATTGCCGTGAACCAAGTCATAGCATGTCTGCAACATTCATCATTGTATTGACGCTGGTTTTAAAAATTTTTCTCTCTGGAATTCTCTTGTTGGTGTTTCTGGAAGCCAAGAATGCCGAAGTGCTCTTGGAATTCCGGGAACTTCACCAATTAGCATTATCATAACCCTAGTATAATTGTGCATGTCCTTCCCGTCATTAGTTGGCATGAGCGTTACGCCCTGTCAATACCTCATAAATAATGGACTATTCCGTTTCACTATTCCGTTTTGATCGTGTGGAAACACAAAAGACATATCAGAGACGCTACTTG